CCGCTGCATCTCTGATCTTCCTCAGGATCTACCAGAAGCCTGGCTAATGACTTGCATCACCTTAAAAAAGAAACAATTTTGATGTGGAGTTTGTCTTATAGTATTTACAAACATAGGTATTACATCTTTGTGTACTTACATTGTTACACTTCACAACTCCGAACAAAATGCATATGGCTCAAATAACATAATAGGGACTTTACCTAGTTAAAATGAAATGTTAAGAAAATGACATGATGAATGCTGAAAAAAGTAAGGTTATTTTTGCAAGAGCACAGGAAGAAACCCGCCGGAAATTTAAATTTGGCCAATCAGACAACGTCAGTTGTGAATAAGTCGCCATTTTTTGATCGTGCGACATGGTTGTAATATTATGCACCAGAAACACTGCCTTGTTTCCCATTCGCCAATATGAGTTTCACCCCCCTGGTGACGTTGTTCCAGGACATTACCGGCATAATGAGTAAAACCGTGCGAAAGCGGGCTAGGTCCCGCTCGGATACGTACTCGGTTACCAGTTCATCTGATGAGTGGCAGATATCATGTTAAAATTGACTCACAAAGTGTCTCGTCTCCAGAGGAAACGTAAACGACGCGGACCTTCACCGGAACGTGACAACAGTGCAGATGAAGGTATTTCTCAACAGATAATGCGGCCTGCTTTGGATCCGCTTCAGCATGTAAGTCTTCCACTGATTTCTGTATTGCACAACGTGCACAATGACAAAAAAAAATAGGGTAGCTGCCAACGAGTTTCGGTACACACAACTGACGTGGCCTGTAGACGTACCCCTTTCATTCACTATTCTGGGTACTGCCGACGAGTTTCGGCAAATGTGTTGTCAACAAGTTTTGACAAACACGACTATTTTACCACACCGCCAACGAGTTTTGGCAAAGTATAAGGCATCACGATTACTTTATTCTATTGTCAACGAGTTTTGACAAATCGTAAGGGCAGAGACAGTGTGTTGTAATTTATTTCATTCATTGCAGCAGAGGACCGAGTTGCCGAGCGCAATGTTGGCACTTCCGACGAGTTTCGTGCACCTTTGGGAAAAGGCAATGTTGCCAAGCGCGATGTTGCCATCTCTGCGGAAATTCTGGCGCTCTCGGGGAAAAACAATCTTGCCGATCAGACTTCTACAAATGATCTGAACAATGAGCTTGCACAAATTTGGTCTAAAATATTACAGGAAGGTCTGTCTCCCGAGGTGCTAACCACTATATTGAGCAAGTATTCTCCGCTCAGTAATCTCAGCATCGCTACTGCTCCCAAACTCAATTTGGAGATCTTATCGGTTATTACGGAACAGCACAAACAGCGAGATCTACGACTGGCTAAGCGTCAAGACCAGATGGGAGCCGCTCTGGTGGCAATTGGCAAAGCACTGACAATCCTCTTGGAAAAAGGGGAGGGGCCACATACAAGAGTATTGGTTGAATGGCTCAGTGATGCAAGGCGTTTAATTTCGGATATCCACCATCAAGAGTCCACCTGTAGAAGAAATCTTGTCTCGGTGGATGTAGACAAGCAGCTTCGAGGTACACTAAGTAACGTAACTGTTGACGGTTGGTTCCTTGGACACAATTTTGGTGATCGGTTGAAAGCAGCTCGTGAAATGAAGAAATATCGTCAAGCCTCAAGCCTAAATCAGTTACTGCCAGATCTACCGCTTCGGTAAATTTCAAGAGTCTGTCTCGATCAAATGTCAAGGGGTATCGAGGCAGACCCAAGTATTTCCGGAAAACTCAGAGCCTGGAGGTACAAAAATACTCGGAAGATATCTGGCTCAACCAAAGAAAATCGTCCAATTTATCGAACCAACTTAGCCCAGGCCTATCCAACACGGACCAGTTAGAGGTAATCTATAAATGTGAAAGGTTAAAATACTTTTCACGGTCCTGGAAATCACTAACTTCAGATAAATTGCTGCTATCATGGGTCAAGGTTATCTAGTCCCGTTTTACCAAACACCGTTTTAGAAATCTGCCCCTAAGGAACTGAAATGGTATTTAACAGAACAAAGATTTTTAGATGTTAAAATTAAGCATCTTTTGTCGCTGGACGCCGTAAGGAAATGCTCTTTTAAACAAGGTCAATTTCTCTAAAATATTGTTTTAACACCCAAACATGACGGTTTGTACAGATTAATTTTAAATCTGAAAGATTTAAACAAGTTCATTATGACAGAACATTTTAAGATGGAGGATCATAAAACGCTGACAAGATTACTGCAGGACAACATGTTTCTGGCATCCTTGGATCTCAAGGATGCCTACCACCTAATCAAAATACATAAACACCATGGTAGATATGCAAGATTTGTTTTCTCTGGGCAAATGTTTGATTATACCTGCTCACCTTTCGGCCTTAACACAGCACCTTATGTGTTTACAAAATTGTCAGTTCTATCCCACTTACGACAACAAGATTTTTTGTCAGTATTGTACATTGACAAAAAAAAAGGTTTGTTAGATTTAGGCTTTCTTATCAATTCAAAGAGGAGTATGACTGTCCCATGCATACGAATAAGATACTTAGGTTTCTTATATAACTCCATAGACATCACTGTAAGTTTACATTTAGACAAGCAAAAACCATGTCAGAACATATTCACAAACTTGTGAGCAATATTACATGTACTATCCGAAAGTTTGCTAAACTGATTCGTAAATTGATCGCTGCATGCCCAGCTATTAAATATGGTTGGCTTTACACCAAAAATTTTCAAAGAGCAACATTTTAGACACTAAAAAGATAAGAGGAGCTTGCAATGTCGAGATGAGATTTTCTAGAGAAGTTCTAGTGGACCTTCTCTGGTGGAAAATCACCTGTCAGGCAAAAATAATTTTCATAGTTTTTAGTTTCAAGCTAGAAATATTCAGTGACAGTTCCCGGTCTGGTTAGGGCATCTACTATAACAGTTGCAAATCCCACGGTTTTTGGTCTAAAGACGATAAGAAGCACCATATAAATTATTTAGAGCTGCTGGGGGCATTTTTTGGACTCAAGTGCTTTGCTGCAGACCTTGTGAATTGTGAAATCTTGTTGCGGATAGATAACACCACAGCCATTTCATATATAAATAGTATGGGCGATATTCAGTTTCCATATCTTCAACAGCCTTGCAAGGCAAATTTGGCAGTAGTGCGAAGAGCGTAATTTATGTATCTTTGCGTGTTATATAAAATCTCAAGAGAACATTATTGCCGATCAGGAATCTCGTCATCTAAATACTGAAACAGAGTTTTCACTAGCAGATTATGCGTTTAGGAAAATTTATCCTGAGCTAAGGGCACCTGAAATTGATTTATTTGCTTCAAGCATTAACTCAAAAGGCAAGAGATTTTCTTCCTGGTTTAAAGACCCTGAAGCAGAGATAGTCGATGCGTTTAAAGCATGATGGGCCGATTATGATTTCCCACCGTTTTTCCTGCTACAGAAAATAATTACGGATAAAGCTGCAGTATGGAAACGGGCTGAACCTATGGTGGGAGTTTTGTACCCAACGAAACTTGTGTTTGGAATTAAATATCCAATCTATATTATGTTTCTTAGCATACTTGTGTAACCAAAGAATGTCATATAGCTCTTTGAATACAACACGCTCTGCCCTAGCGTTGATTATATCGCCACTAGTTGGCGATAATCACCAAACTCAAAGATGTTTCAAAGGTGTTTCCAAACTGCGACCACCTTTGCCTAAATATCACGTAACGTGGGACCCGCCCATAGTTTTAAGTTACCTAGAAACGTACTATCCTAATGAGACAATTAGTTTAGATATACTGACACAAAAATTATCGATGCTAATGGCGCTGGTTACAGCACATAGAGTGCAAACATTTTCACCAATAGAAATTTCTGATATCGAAATATCGGACACAAAAACAGCAATAAAGGTCCCGGCCAGAGTTAAAACATCTGCCCCAAGCAGATACCAACCCTTATTAATACTACCAGTTTTTTTCACAGTTACCCCAAAATATGTGCTGCAGACACGCTTAAATGCTGCTTGGATAAAACCAGTGTTTTAAGACAGTCGGGCAAACTTGCTAAACTTTTTCTGACTTATGAGAAACCTCACAAAGAAGCAACGGCTCAGTCTATTAAGCCGGGTCCACATCAATAAAAATTTGTGTTGTTCGTTCTATTTGACAAAAATATTTTCGTGTGCGCCGAATTTTTGTTGATGTGGACTGTGCGCCGCAAGCAAATGTGCGAAAATTATTTCGTGACGAACAACGCACAGGATCCGTTGGCCTGTCGGTTTTTTCAGATCTTCAAAGAGATTTATGCCGCACAGTCGTGTAAGTGTGGACGTGGACGAGTAGTGTCTACTTTAAAAGTAGTTTTCGACGTAAATACAAGCTATTTTTTGTTGGCTACCATGTCACTTGTTTTAAAAAGGAAATATGTTTATAATTCTCACAGATTATCTTCGCCGGAAAAAGAGATTGAATAAAAGTAAAAATAAAAGACGCTACTGGACAACGCAGATTTTTCTTCATAAAAGACAAAACGGCGGGGAGCAAGTATTACGAACACTAGCTGCTGATGAATCAATAGCACAATTTTTTAATTTTCTTCGCATGTCGCAAACAGATTTTGAGGTTCTTATTAATATGATTGGACCAAAAATAACAAAGAAAGACACCAACTTTAGAAAAGCGATATCAGTCATAGAGAAATTAGCGGTAACTTTACGCTTCTTAGCAACAGGGGACTCTTATATTAGTTTTCAGCAGCTATTTAAAATCTCAAAACAAGCCTTTTCCTGAATTATGCCTGAAGTCTGCAATGCGCTTATTGAGGCTCTCAAAGATAATGTGAAGGTAAGTACCTATCTATATATTGCATTATCGGTGATTGGAACTTAATAATAATTATACTGTGTAAAAATTAGTAAACTTAAACATCATCATAGTTTAATCACTTTAATCTTTATTTATTAAAATAGAAAAACCCAAAAATAAACATACGATTTCAACATAGGGTGAAACATAGTAATAAGTATTAGCTAAATTAACTTATTCTAGAAAAAGTATTTTTAACTTAATCTTACGTAATTTTTATCGTACTTAGTACCTAATTTGGAAGGAAAATTTCAATAAAAAACAACAAGTCCAAAGTAACTTAAAGAGTATAAAACAAAGGATTATTAATTATAATAATGGGTGATTTTTTTGCTAGTATCTTTTTGGCAACACTGTTATTGACAGATGACGAGTGAATCGTGTCTTGTGTCATTGTCAAACTTGGGGTGCAGAACCTTATAAGATACAGCTGGTGCAAAAATTGAAGCCAGACGACCTCCCAAAAATTGTGTTCAGCGACGAAGCTCATTTCTGGTTGAATGGGTACGTTAACAAGCAAAATTGCCACATCTGGAGTGAAGACCAGCCAGAAGCATTGCAAGAGCTACCAATGCATCCCGAAAAAATCACTATTTGGTGTGGATTATGGGCCGGTGGCATCATCGGGCCGTACTTCTTCAAAGACGACAATGGCCGGAACGTAACTGTGAATGGCGAGCGCTACCGTGCGATGATAACAAACTTTTTTTTTTTTGCCCAAAATGGAAGAGCTGGACTTGGCCGACATGTGGTTTCAACAAGACGGTGCCACATGCCACACCGCACACGATACAATGGCCCTATTGAGAGGCGAGTTCGGTGAACAGTTTATCTCACGTTTGGGGCCCGTCAATTGGCCGCCTAGATCGTGTGATTTAATGCCGTTGGACTATTTCTTGTGGGGCCATGTTAAGGCTAATGTCTACAGGGATAAACCAGCAACGCACCAATGCCAAACCGATCGACAAAAAAAAACAGCAACGATTGACGCACTGGAAGCCAATATTGAAGCATTTATTCGTGAGGTACCGGCCGATATGCTGGAGAGAGAGTGCCAAAATTGGACCTTGCGCATGGGTCATCTAAAGTGGAGCCGCGGCCATATTTACATGAAATAATCTTTAAACATTAAATTATATCGACCGTTCTATCGACTCAAATAAGGATTTAATCGTTTTTTCAAATTTTTGTGTTTTTTTTTTGAAAATCAAATCCTATACCTCTTAAAAAATCACCCGTTACTACAAAAACTACATTATTCTTACAACTTAATATACGAATGTAGCTCGGCAAGCAGGTCATCTTGTGGAACATTATTTTTTGAACTGAAGGCGCATGAGCTTCATATGATGGAAGGTTTTCATGTTCTTGTGATACTGTCTTCCATGACTGTTCATAATCAGATTTCACAAATAGAGGAGAACGCTGTGAAGAGTTTGGAGATGAAGGCGAAATACGAGGTGGTGCGACGGTTGTTGAAGGTGGAATCAGGTTTGGGCTATGAGAATAATATGAGCTTATATTTTGCATCGTTGTAGATAGAGGAGAATCCTGTGAAGAATAAGAAGATGAAGGCGAAGAAAGAGGTACTGCGATGGTTGTTGGAGATGGGATCAAGTTTGGATAGGGAGAATATAAGCTCGACATTTGTACCGCTGGAGTGTCATAATGTCCCATTTCGGCTTCAAAAATAACTTTATTAATAGCACGTTCGACCAGTGTTCGGGTTCTTCCTTGAAATTTTTTCAATTTGTTGGCCACATGATGAGCATAAATCAGTGTTGGATCATTAGGTTGCTGGATAAATTGCCTTGCCCTTTCTAGAAGCGGATCTTCAGTTTGATTTACTTGTTTCTGAGCTCTTTTGCGTTTCGGTGTAGAAGGTTTTGTAAATTTGTTTACCTTGGGACTTTCTTCTCTCGCACTGATTGATGCTCCGTGTGTGTCATCTCTATTACTTTCTGGTGTAATGGAGGAATGTTCCATATTTGTTTCTCCTTCTATAATGTCATCAGTTTGCGAATTGTTTTGAGAATCTGCGAGGTTTTCAGCATCATCCTGCTTCAGTAATTTCATCCTGAAATAATAATATAATAATAATAATAATGATGCTAGTTTCTAAAGTGATATGGAAGTGTTGTTGTTATTTGCTGTTTTTTTTTTAGATTCCGTCATCGGGAGAAGAATGGTTAGCTGTTGCCGAGACATTTGAAAGGCTTTGGATTTTCCCTAACTGCGTTGGCTCTATGGACGGGAAACATATTATACTGCAATCACCTAAATGTAGTGGCAGTGGCGACTTTTTCAACTACAAAGGCTTTTTTAGTATTGTTTTGTATGCAGTAGTCGATGCGGATTATAATTTCATTTTTGCTGACGTAGGCGTTCAAGGAAGGATTTCCGATGGAGGCGTTTTTAAAAACACCGTAATTCATTACAAGATGCAAAATAATCGTTTGGGTTTGCCTCTGCTAAACCTTTGCCAAAAAGACAAAAAGAAGTGCCCTATGTATTTGTAGCTGATGGGGCCTTTCCACTTACTGAACATATTATGAAACCGTTTGCGGGGCTACATTCAAAAGGGTCTAAGGAAAGGACATTTAATTACCGACTTAGCAGAGCACGCAAAGTAGTGGAAAATGTTTTCGGTATTATTTCGTCTATTTTTCGAGTGTTAAGAAAACCATTGCTATTAGAACCACCAAAGGCAGAAGTAGTGGTCATGGCAATAGTGCATTTGCATAATTGCTTGCGAAAGAGCAGAAATTTTCAAAGTTACAATTCAGACTTGACATCAGAATATGTATGGATAGATCACATTTTAACGCAGGACAATACATTAACATCTCTCCTACCCTTAAAAACTGGTTGGCTATAACATAAATTTTCCATGCAATGTCTAAGAGATGCTTTATCATAAGTAATGTCATAGGGGCATCTAATATTTCCGAAAAAAATCCACAAAAACACCTTGCTAAGTAATATTTCAACAAGAAGCATGAGTGCTGGGGCAACAGAATTTCGAGTCGAAGATGAGGATTTTTGCACCGGCTCGAATGTTTTTTGTTGAAAAAATATTACTTTACATTGTGTTTTTTCGATTTTTTTCACATGAAACAAATGCCCGAATGGTATTTGACTAGACTATTTCATGAGTACCAGATTACTGGTGTCCTAGGAGACCATAATCACCTGTTATCAAATGTATTGTAATTTTTGGCGATAACGGCAGTCAAGTTTTCATCTATAAACCATTTGTAATTCAAAATTGCAGCGTTTGTGATAAGTAGAAATTAAGTTGAGGGAAATAGTGGAATGAAATTGTACTTTTTGTTTGGAACACCCTGTGCATACTGTAAGTGAGTGTTGCCCTTTTCTGATTCCAAGAATACAGCGCTACGTATTTCAAAAATTTCAGACTTCCACCTCTTCAACGATAGGATGTAAGCAAGCACAAAATTCAAGTTTTGGACAAAATTAATATAAATAAATATCATAAACTATACAGGGTATCCGCAAAGTTGGGGTTTTCCTTTTCAAACACAACTACTCTTGATATAACAAAGTTAATTTGTAGTGAAAGATGAGCGAACAAGTCAAAAAAATAAATAAAAAAGTACTCGCTATTCAGTTGAATTGAAATTCCAAGTACGGCTCTGTCGTAAAAACCGAGGAGCACATCTAACAAAAATAACAACAAAAAAATCGAAAATATGACGTCGGTGTCACTTTTTCTTGGCGAACGTATTTTATAAGTACTGTTCGAAGTTTTTGCCGTTGGATTAAAAACACATGTGCGTGCTCGACGTAGCCAAGAATCGGTGCAGGCTTTTAGAGTGCAGTCACTTCCCCGATGAATGCAGCATCTTGCTCAATAGTTATCAGACGTAATTCGTCAACCGTGAGTACTTCAGTTTTATACACCAAGCGTTTCATTTCGCCCCAAAGTGGTAAGTCTGGAGATCGCGGAGGCTTTGCTATGGGTCCATTACGTCCGATCCACCTATTCGGAAATGATTCATTTAAGAACACACGCACCCCTCGTCTAAAATGGGGCGGTGCAACGTCAAGGAGAAACGTTCTGCATACACTCGCGAAGCCTCGGTCGCATTTTGAAGACACTCACAGTAAATTAACAGCATGTCGACTAGTTCGCTATTGGTGTATGAGTGTACCACTTTTTTTATTATTTTTTAAACAGCCATCGTTTACCAATGTAATGGTTTGCTGACCTACACTACCGGCGTCTAGGTTAGGTTGCGTACTAGCTTATTTACACCGCAGTCGTACGTCGTATACCTGTACGCTGGCGGATAGAGGGATAGGACGGGCTGTGATTTTGTTCAGGTTTGATTGAATTTGCGGTTCTCTTAAGACATTGCTGTATACTCGTATGCTACTAAGAAAGTCCGCTTATTTGCTCAAGATTTACACGACGTGTAAAGGAAAGCCCCAACTTTGCGATATATGCTTGGAATCAGAAAAAAACGACTGTCACTTTCACTGCAAATATAAAGTGTATTTAAAAACTACAACTTCAGTCGGTAGCACTTTTCTGAAATACAAAAGAGTATTGTAATGTTTGTTATATTAGACAACTTTGTATAAATCTTTTTCTAAACAAAAGTGTACACCACGGATTTCAACTAAAGCATTTGTGCACGTTTTAATCATTATAGTCGCAGAAAAGAAAGAATATTTGTGTTGCATGCTGGACTTACTCGGAACGAATAATAAAACAAATATATTCGAAGTTCAACATTTAAAAGATTGTATTTCATCCGTTTAAATAAAGCTTGTACCTATATAATCACGAAGTTCCTTCCTGCACGGCTACGGAAACAGCATATATATTCATTATGCTAATACAAAAGGAAGACAAACAAAAAAGCTCTCGTTACGTATCACGCATTCTCTCAATCATCCACGGGGCTGGAGATGGAAGTAGATGGGGAGTACGAAGGAAAACAGTCATCCATTTCATCTCTTTGCCCTTCACCTTCCTTAATTACAAAGGCTGCACCACCAGCATTTTCCCTTACCTACATCTTTTAAGGGGGTTGTCAAGGGAGAGATGTGTAAGGTCGCCCTAAAGTGGCGGGGTGTTTCATTTAACTACCTATTCTACCTTTCAGGTAACGAATGTATTACAAGTTGTTCCTGAAAGTCCAGGATTTGAGTAAAAATAAAAAACTTTGGTTGCTTGCATGTTTTTAATTTTTGGTGCTGGAAAAGTACATCCCAAGGGCGCACAAGCTGTTTTTCTTAGAAATAAATGAATTAAACATTTGCATCATATTAGTACCAAAGCTGAATGAACATGTAACTTATAGAAATACGACAGCACAAACTGCCATGAATTACCAGAAGCTATCTGTAACTGTAAAGTATCTCAGTCTCGGGTTTAACAGCCAAGTTCGACCGTTCGACCAAAGATGGGCAGCTGTTTCGTGCTTTTTTAAACTCTTCAGCATGCTTTTAGGTGGGACAACGAATGAAAGCTTAACATAACTATCCTCTATCCGAGGTTGAGCTTCTAGGCCGTGCTGATGAGTCTCAGAAAGCATGAAACAGCTGTACACAATTGGATGTCTGTGGATGGAGGGATGAAAGCAAGTCATCAATACCACAACATATGTTATGTAAAACATAGCCACGTCGCAGGACACTTAGGCCCGGTTTTTAAATTGCAAATCAACTTTCAAGTTGGGTAATTATTACTTGGAAGCTAACTATAAATTTCCCGAATGCGCGTTACATTGTGCTCGACATTTCGAGTCGTCGTTGATTGTCAGAGCGGTTCATGGGACCTTGGCTGTTGAGTCACAGTGTCAGTTTGTAAGTCTGTCAGGTCTAGTAACCCAGAAACCAGACAATTTTAAGGAAAAAAGGGAAGGAAAGGGGAGAAGGAAGAACGAGAGCAAGGAGGAAGAAGATAATCTTTTAGGATAGGCAGCGTTTAGGCATTGTTAAAATCATTTCACAGATTTAGATATAGTCTAAAAATATTTGACTTTTTCTAAAGATTTTGTCAAAATGCTCCAATTTTGGTTGTTCTAAGTTAACGAATTAATCTTGATTACACTGCGAGCCGCGGCCTTTTGTGCTTGCGAACTTGCTCGAGTGTGTAGTCCACTGACTGGCGCAACAGAGGGTTGCTGTGCGATTCTCCTAGGCTATAGCGCCGTTGAGCCTGTTGCTTAATGTTGTCCTTTAGGTAAGGGACATGGAGGTCTCTATGAAGAGTTTCGTTAGAGACATACCGTGGGGCGTCAGTAATAGTGCGCAACGTCCTGCTTTGCAGAACGTGCAGATTTCGCATGAGTGTGACCTTATAGAGTCGAATCTTTTTAATCAAACTTAATTTTGAACGTTTACATAATAATGGGTAAAGCTGTCGAAACGTAATTTGGAATTTAGTTTTCAGAGCTTCTATATGATTCCGCCAAGTCATCCCTTTGTCCAGAATGACACCGAGATACTCTTAGCGGATACCATGCTATACAAAGTCCATTCATAGAAACTTCAGACGGAACGCCGCGACGTCTTTTTATACAGTAGATTGCCTGCGTTTTCGCATGGTTAATTTTAATCAGCCACCTATCCGCCCAATCTAATACTTCCTCCACTGCACTTTGCGTCCTGTCGTGGACTAGGTCACCAGAATACGTCTGAGGCACCAATCCAGTGTCCAAGGACCGAACCCTGACGCCGGCTGCAATCACATTTTCAGCGAACTTACACGAAGCTGACAGCAGGCTAATGAGACGATAATCCTGGAAAAATATCAAAACCACCTTCTTTGGAATTATTATAACTTCAGCGGTCTTCCACGTGGATGGGAAGTACTGGGTCCTTAGCATGGCATTGACTATTGCCACAAGATAAGTTAAGGACTTCCGCGAAAGCAGCTTCAGCGCCTTATTAGTGATTTGATCCTCCCCAGGTGCTTACGCACTTTAAGGTCTTCAATATGACCTTGAATCTCTGCTGGTATGCAATGCGGGATCTCGGGAGATTCCGCTGATATGTTAAGCCGATCTTCGGTTGAAGAATATTCTGATGAAGAAAAATTGCCAACAGTAGC